TAGATCAGAAATTCATCTTAATCAAAAAAATAAACATTCTATTGATTCTTCTGATTGATTGCAATTATAGTTGATTAGAAATTGATAAAAAAAAAGCTATTAGCACAATTCCCGCGAGATTAAAATGTAAAACACGATATATCCATTGTTGCTAATCCTCTAAAAACTTATGTATATTTAGATATATTTCGTCGATAATCCTTACCTTACAGCATAAAACTTCAACAAGGAAATACTCTATATATAGGTTAGCTACACATAACCTCTAATAGTTCTTTGAAATCGTCTGTCATCATCTATGATGGGTCCGAACTCTGTCTGTGGTTCACAAAATATAACATTTTAATATTTCCTACTGTTTTACAATCTCTGATGCTATCTTGTGATCGCTATAACTAGCATACATAGAAGACAATAATATTGTTTCATACAATTTAACTAATATAGTCAAAGCAATGAACTATTCTTATTAATATTCACATTCAAATGTTTTGAATCAACAAAAAATATTCTTTTTCTCTTTCATTTTTTGAGTCCTTTATTCCATAGCATGATGTTTCTCGTTAAAACAATCAAGACAAAAAAATTTGTCACAATCAGCTCAAAAGGTTTTTATTTTCTTTACTATCAGCGTACTCACTTCTCTTGATTGTTGTTTTCTGCTTTTCTTGTAGCAGCTAGCACAGCGCGCAGATCCTTCCTTTTCTTCGAGCTTGTGATCGGCGAGTTTGCACTTCGAACGACTTGCTGATTGTTGTCTCGGATCAAGTTTCAGTTTCTCAAATAGCGTACGGAGGAGTAAAGATTGCACAAGATTTTCACGAAACTGCAGAATGGTCAAAACCAGTATATGATACATAGATATAACAAACACAAAAGAGAAAACAACGAGTCAGCACAGTATGAAAAAGAACAACTAATACACACGAAAATGAATCTGTTAGAGCTATTCTATAATAAAACTGAAGCTAAAACTAAATTTTCGGCAAAAAATTTAGTTGACTCCGTCTAGGACTCTACTCGGATGAAGGCACCGTAAGAAAACACATAGGCAGTAATTCATTGAAGGTAGCGCCACTTTCAATGTATTGCAGTTCAGACTAGAAAAGATTGTGATAAACTCTACATAATGGTTGTTATCTTATTTTTAGATGATAAAAAATATTTTGATGTAACTAGTAATAATGTTCAATATAATCAAAGCTTTATCTAAACGAATGTATCAATAAAAAATTATTACTATTTATTGAAAAACATCATAAAAATAACAATTTTTGTATTCTGACTGAATAAAATTCGTGTATATTATGCTAGCATTATCCTTAACTGATTAAGCGAAAAAAGAAATTATGCTTAAATTTGATAATATGCCTCAGGCACATCCGATTGAAACTACTTGGAGTAAAAAGTGCACGTAAAAAAATTGAATTGATATAAGTTGTAAACTATGATAACGGACGTTTGAAAATAATTACGAGATTTAAATTCTACTTGTTAATTTTAGTTTTTTTTTTTTTGTACTTTGAAACATTCTTTTCCATGAAAAACAAAAATTGACTCCCAACGATGTTCTTGGTCGAATAATTAATTATGCCTGGACAATTTTTTTTTGTATTATAAGTTAATTGAAAGAGTACTAAATATAATATAATTAAATTTAAATGAAAGGAAAAAAAAATTAATTAGAGATAAGCAATGTAGCATAAAATGTTTGTCTTACATAAAAAGAATTATTTCTGCTATTTGCAACGACTTAATTACTGTAGTTGATATTTCAGATACAAAGGATAAAAATTCATTAAAATATTTGAAAAAAAACAAACAAACTTGTTTAAAAATAATTGATTTTAAAAAAGCTAAATTATGTTTATTCAAGAATTCTACATTGATAAAATAATTAAATCAATTATGTTATTATATCGAAGTACTTTTCTATTCATTTCTACATTGAACTTTCAAGTATATTTCAACATAAGAAGGAAAGATGAACCTAATGCTCGACAATTTACACACAGTAAAATAATATTATTTATAGATTAGTCATTAATCGTTTAAATGTAAAGAAATTAAACAATATAGAACAATAAGCAAGAACTACTCAGATTATATTGATATAGAAAAATCACCAATATGATGCACTGGTTTATTTCTTGTTTCATATTTCAACGTTAATTATTTTCTATAAAAGATAAAAATGCTGTAGGTTAAATAATTTTTACAATCGTTTTATTTTCTATCATGAAGACATATCTCTATTTAATGAGAATCGATTGATCATTTTCTATCTAATAGATATCTTTTTTTATTTTGGATGATTGAATTCGAGAAATGAAATGTCATATTGAATTAAATATAATTCGAAATAAATCTAGACAATTAAACATTTTCAAGAGTTTATAAAGCTTATAAGAGATAACTATGTGTCGAAGAATTTCGATGTAAAAATTCCATTTGATTGAAGAAACAGTGGGCTCATAAAAATTCATTCATATTTCTCGTAATAAAATCGTTCACTAAATAATACAATAAATTATTATTGATTTTCTTTATTAGTTGATAATCTGATTCGGACAAATATGTGTCTATGTTTGTTTTTTTGATTAGATTATATATATATATATTAACATATAAAATAGAATAATAATAATAAAAAAAAACACACAAAGATAATATGATATAATACATGACCTCAAGACAAAATAGTTTATTTGAAAAAATAAATAAATAAATAAATAATTTCCTATTCTATTTCCTTCTATAAATCAAAGATAAAATTTTTAGTAAAAGAAATATATTTAACACAATAGAAATTTTATTGAAGTAAAAATCCATAAATGATCGTTTCAATTTAAAAAATATAAATGTCAAAGTTCATAACAAATTTAATGTATCAAAAGTAGAACTATTTCTAAAAGCTTTTCTTTTTCTCATTAAACAGATATGGTATGTTTTTAACCACTAGATTTTCTAGTGAAACTTAATGAAGGAAATTAAATAATTACTAAATTTTTTTTTTATCATCATCATTCATCTATCAGCATGAAATAAGAAAGATAGAAAATAGTATTGATAGACATGCACATAACTGAGACGACACTATATATCCTAGTCGAATAAACGGAAGTTCATCATGTATAGAAACATGAATTTTTCAACTAATAAGTCACAATATGTTTTTTTTTCCTTCTATTCTCATAATAATTGCCTTAGAGTTGAACCTTTATTTTTTTTTAAGAGTACAACTTATAGTTTGTATGTCTGTTATTCTCTTGAGTATTGGATCTATTACTTAATTATTCACCTCATGACATTCATTCATTCATTCATGCATTCTCCACCCATTAAAGAATAATGTTGATTTTCGTTAATTACTTTTTCTTCTCCCTATTGATTATAGTTTAGAGAGTTTGAGATAATTATTGCCAGTAATATATTTCATTGTATTTTGGCTAGAATTATTTATTTTTAATCAAATCTTCTCTAATTCCCCTTGATATACATTCTTAAATCGAGAAAAAAACTATTCAACAAATACAAATAAATAAGAAGAATTTCAGTTCAAATCCTCAGTATATTGGTATGTAAATAGTTCATTTATTTATTTGAATTGAGTAATAATAATAATAATAATAACTTAAATGTAGCTGAAAATGATCAAAGAATTATTATTGTTCTCTTCCATCAAATAGATTTTTTGGAATAAATATCAGTGAGTAAATATCACTATTGAATGAAATCATGTGGAAAAATAATTCTTTTCTTCTACAATAATGAACTTAAACCGTTATTGCCTAGGCATTTACTATTTCCTTCGAGATAAAAAGAAAGGGCATATTTTTCATTTATTTTATTTTTGTTACGCATAATAAATGTTCTGTAATTATAAAGTTACCGCCTAGAACTAATTAATGTTCATGGTTTTTTTAATAATTATTAATATTTTTTCTTCTAGGTTGCGGATTATGTAGGTGTTTATCTCGAGAGAGAATTGGCTTGAAAAAATATTTGTAATTAATAGTAAAAAGCAACTGGTTAATCTCATTTTTTCTTTTTTTTTTCATATGTATATATAAGACATTGGTATACTGATCATAGAATGATTTAGTTAGTTAGTTATTTTTCGAAAGAATCAGAAAATAAGATAAGCAGGATGCATAGTATAGACACCAATGTATATGGCATACATGTTTGTGCTTCCGCATCATTTTTCTTTTAGATCTAATAGTATGTGTGAAATAATCCTATAGTAAGATCACTTTTATACTAATGAGTTTCCTGGGCTTATATTTCTTCTATATTATTTGTTATCTTCTTTTGCCAAGTTATGATAAATTCTTCGTCGAATAGACAATCATTATAGTCATTCTCATATTCATAAAACTATATATGTTCCCTTTTTTTTTTCATCGTTTTTTTTTTTTTTCTTATTACACATTTGTTTTTCAACTATCATTAAGAGGGAGCACCAACAATAAGGGATGAACAGGCGATGTGAACTAATCAACATTAAAAAAAAAAAATAAGAAAATAGATATAGAACACAATATAATTTACATCCTAATACAGTTTTATTATTTTGTTTTCTCTCTTTTTTCTGCTCAACATATATTTTTTTATCATTCTTACTATTTATCTGATTGGTAAGATTTTTTTTTGCATATAATAGCGATGATGAACATGATAATTCTGCTTCAAAAATTACCAACAGGCTAATCAATTCTGACTTGCAATTGTCTTTGAGGGAGGAGAAAAAAAAAGGGAAGAAAAAAAGAGATTTAAATGACAAATGATCATCATTTGCTTGACTAGATGAACATGCCAAGAAAGTCAGCAATAACAAAAAAAAAACAGAAAGAAAGAAAACCTTTTTTTTTGTTTTTTGAGTATAAGCATTTAAAATTATTATTTGTATTCGCATAGTTTGATTATTGCAGGTCGTCCTCATCCTTTTTCATATTGGGTTCCTCTTCATTGACATCATCATTATTTCATTTATCGCGATGAAAGCTCAACTATTTACCTTTATGTTATTTACAATTGGCGTTCTTTTGTTTCAATCAGCATATACGGTAATTTTAGACAGAAAAAAAAAGATCTATAAATTTAGAAATATTTGATTTCTTTGTTTAGTACCACTTTCGAAAACGCGAATTAACTGAATATGATGTATGTATATTAAACCAGTTTCTTTTGAGGGTAAAATATTTGTTCATATTTAGTTAACCAGTTTTATAGTCAACACATGCTCTGCCGATAAGATCGAATTGCTTATTCAAAATCTTTGTGATCAAACATTACAATCGGCACTTATGGGCGTAAGTATTTTTTTTCTCTCGAATTTCTTTTTAAATCAAAACATACATCATGGATCATATTAGTCATCATCAAGTATTATATAGAAAAAAATAGAAGAGTTGATTTTGTTGCTGATACATTAACATTCGATCATATTTGACTGTTTTGTTTTTCTTATTTAGAGTTTTCCATATTTGACATATTATTGCAAAATGATCGGTTCTGGAAATAGATATTGTGACAATATCAATCGATATATATTGGCAGAGCAGAACATTGAAACTCACGTAATTTAAATAGACAAAAAAAAAAAAAAAAGAATAATTTTGAATATTTATTTTCAAAATAGGCATTAATGTCTCGTCGATTTGTACGAAGTCTTTATAAAAAGAACAAATTATATCAAAATCGAGAGGAGACGGATACAGATATAGACGTATGTTTAGTTAAATAAATATTTATATTAGAAAAAAAACAAAAAATTCTTTTTTTCTTTTGTTTAGCTCAAACAAAAAATGATTCTCGAAATATGTATGACAAGTACAGAAAAAAATTCAATAGAAACACATCGGTTTTGTAATCAAACATTAAAAGATATTCAGCGAGGAGTATGATAAATTATAATCTTGAAATCTTTTCTTTTTTTTTTTTTTTTCTATCTACTATTATTAAATGGTTTTTTTCTTTTTCATCTATTTATTATTTTAGCGATACCCTGAAATTAAACGTCTTTGCAAATCTTATCCTGGTTTTAACTATTGCCAACGTATTCTATCATTTTCATCCTTATTATCTGAGCCATTATCAAAAGAATCATCATCTCTTTTATCATCATTGCCTTCTACTACACCTAATATTTATCGTTCGTCCGTACCATTAGAATTTTCCAAATCGTCTGACGTCGAATCGATCATCGATCAACAAAGGATGAATAAATCACCATTATCATAATCAATACACACAAAAAAAAAAAAACAAAATCGATGTGTAAAAGAATCTTTTCTCTAAGTTCTTCAAAAACGTCATCATCATGTCAGAAAAAGCATATAATAAAGAAGCCGAAGTACAGCAAAACATGTCAAAAAAACAAAAAAAAAAAAAAGTATATCTAAAAAAAGCAAATATTCTTTTCGTTTGAATGTATATCTAGAATTCGTCTCTTATAATAATTCCTATATCTGCATCTGTTGTTTCGTTCATTTAAATTTAAATAAGAATAACAATGAAAAAAAAAAAGAAAAACAGAAATTTACAAAATCATACAATCGTCATTTCTTTGTTCGAGTCATCCTCCGATATTTAAGCTTTATGAGATTTAAATTAAACAGTCATAAAGATTGAATACCAAAGAGGCAACTCGTACAAATATTTGACTAAAAAAAACATTCTGAACATAAATTAATCTACCATCTGATAACATACATACATACCCGCTAATACACATGATTAGAATACTTCTGTTAAAAGCAAATATGAATATATGCAAAAAAAAAAAAAGTACAGAGTAAGCCACAGCAGGCGACAACCATCATTTAGTGAAGTGACGAAGCATGTTGAAATATGTCTTACTTTTTTTTTTCCTCCATTGCTTGTTCGTTATTATAGTCATCAAATCCAATCTCAAAGAAAAACAAAACATGCAACTTTCGTCTCTTGCCGATCACATTACGTGTGTTTAACTACTTTACAATTGTAGTCCATAAAAAAAAAAATATGTATATATATATATATATACACCTGATCGTTTCTATATATTTTCGTTGGCGGCATCTCTTTCTTTCAATCAACATTGTTGAAAACAATTATTTTTTTTTATTCTAGCATACATATATATATATTTGAATGGTGAGAAAGAAAAAAAAAGAATTTGATTTCGTTCTTTCAATACAATAGGTATTCATAATTGTCGTAAATAGCACGTTAGACATCAAAAGATCAGCATATGATTGTTCCTAAATATTGAATTTAATACGACAAATGTTTTATGTATATATATTGGCATGTAATTGAAAAAGAACGAATACGACAGAATAATAATCACGTTTATTGTTTCTTGATTCAAATACATTTAATGAATAGAGAAACAGAGAACATAGTGCTTACAAATGAAAAAAAAAACATGTGGAATAGTAAATTCACTTTTGATATACATACACGTAATACTAATTTTTTGTATACAGAATGGAATGACACGATAGATCGAGTATTCGAGCACTAATAGCAGCATCAATAGTAAAAAAAAAAAAAAAAGAAGTAAGAAGTTTAGAACCCCTATTTATACACATATTGAAGAACGTATAGTTTAGTTTACCAAAAGAATAAAAAAAAAAAAGAAGTTTTATTGTCAATGCAATCATTTGAGCAAATTATGATATGCAAAAGAGATATATATATATATAAAGATTCAGAAATTTTAAAAAAAAAGTACTTTGTTGCTTAAGTTATTGAGACAGTAACTGTATTGCAAATATATAGAAAAGATGAGCAGAAGTTACATAATAAAAAAAAAAAGAGAAAATGATGTGAAATATGAGATAGAACGACTTCATTGGAAATTCTTCATTATAATGTATTCAAAGATCTTCTACAATAAAATAAAAAAAAAAGATAAATAATTTTTTATTTTTATTTTTACTTACTGTAATGCTCTATATTTTTCTTTTTCACTAGCAGTTGCTGGTGGTTCACATTCGAATGATGCGAGCATTAGAGCTATATAAAACAAAAACAAAATTTAATAACTAAAATAATTTAAATATAAAATTTACAATCTTCATTGAATGTTGGAGATGTAATAATATAATTAATAATGACATCATTTCGTTCAAATGAACACTTCAAAAAATAAAAATAGTAATTAGAGAATAAATTCGAAAGTGTTTAATCGATTTATTCACAAAAGAATAATAGTCTAAGAAATGTCAGTGCGCTATGACACAATTTCATGCTCTTATTGTTCTTATTTCTATGTTACTAAACATAAGATATTCAATTATAGAAAACACATCAGACGATCAGAGACCAAGTGAAAGTTTCAAGAATGGTGACAACGGGGGAATTGTATAGGAACATATTTTTATTCAAAAAATTTTCAATTATTGAATAGATGTACACCCAACACACTTGCTTTCGTGGTAAATATTTCTGCGCATTAGAAAAACCTATTTCCTTTGTAGTATATGAAAAAAAAATTCCACATTAATCATTATTGATGCTATTTTACACTGGAAAAGTTATTAAGTAAACAATTGTTTTATTAATGTAACTAAATGTAAATCTCAAGAGAATTTTTATTTGAACTATATATTTCAACCTTAATAAATTAATCTTTAAGAGTACAAACTATAAAAGTTGTTATATTATTAAGAAGACATCGAATTAAATGTCTTTGTATTATATAACATACTTTACTCTGTTTACATTGTACAAATTCTTCAGAAATAAATTTTGCCATTGAATAATATTTCTAGAAAAATCAAAATAAAAGTTAAATATTTTTTTTTTTTGATTAAATAAATAGAAAAAAAAAAGAAACCAATCACTTTTAAATTAATTCCACCAGCTGTTGTATAATCTTTACTATGTGTTTTTATATAATAAACATCTTGTAAAATAATACTAGTAAATGGTATAACAATTTTATCTGTTTTCCATCCATGTTTTTCAGCTTCTTCCATAGCTACTTTAAGTATAAGACGATATGTAGCAAAATTTTTTGATACATCCATATACTGTTCAAGTTGTTGAAATTTTTCTAATTGAATTTTTTCCCACTAAAAAAATATTCGAATTTTTATTCATTTTAAGAATTAAATATATATTTATTTATTTACAGTTCTTTTTAATCGTCTTATTGGTTGCATATTTAAACCACCTAAAGATAAATTAATAAAAACAAAAAAAAAATTAAATTAGAATAAGAATATCTATGCTTTGATTTCTTTTTTTTTTTTTGTTCTATGAGTTTTAACTATTGAGATATAAGTAAATCTTGACAGGGGACTCAAAAAAGAAAAACTTTTGTCGAGAGGCAAAAAATATTATTTTTCTCAAGAACACTCTATTTCCTGTCGACATCAATATAGTACTTGAGAGTGATAGTCTAAGAATGGAGAATTTACACTAAAAAAAAAAAAAAAAAGTGATAGAAGATCATTTTGCGATGAAAATTGAAAAAAAGTTTGCCAAAAAAAAACATTTTCAAATAAAATCGTCTTACCAAGTATTCCAATCATAGAATTAAAATTTTGTATACGAAAACATTCATAAGCAGCATCAATAAAATAATTAATTAATCGTACACGTGAACGTCTTTGTGTATGTTTAACAATTTCTGTTGTAATAAAAAATGTTAATCGATTAAACCATTGTATATAAGCTTCAAGACAAAATGTTAATTTTTTATCATGTACTAAAGCTTGTGTTTGATTATTTGAATATTCAATATTTGATGTTGATGATTCAATTGAATAATTTCTATTTGGATGTGCTCGAGCTTCTTCGGATGCTAATTTCATTATAAAATATTGTATTAATTCTTCAGCACCAACTGGTTTTAATCTATCCTATGAAAATAAACAAAATTAAAAATATTGTCGAGTTATTCAATAATAATACCAGTTCTATATGAGTTAATTGTTGAGCGAATAATATTGATGTTGAACATTCATTCATAATGTCCGTCTAAGAAAGAAAAAAAAAGTTTTATTTTTTTAAATAATATAATTAACTTACAACTAATGCTGATTGATTTAGATTAGACGTAGTTTTTTTATTTAATTGTCGAATATATTCTTCATAACTATCTAATGCTTTAAGCTAAATAAATAAAAGAATATCATGTAAATTTTTTTTTCTTTCTTTTTGATAATTAAGTATATATACTTTTGAACGAAGTTTTTTATAAATATGTTGTACATCTGATTGAAGACTTGATTCAAAAGAAGTTATTTTTTTAAAAAGATCTTCAAGTTGTGACATCATTTCACTATTACGAAAATCATATGGAAATGTTCGTGTCCATTGTGATAGAACATAAAGAAAATTATTCATTGTTCGAACACTTTGATCCTTTAAAAAAAACAAACAAAATATAAATTAATATTAAAATAAAAATATTTTTCTTTCAATCATACGAATGTTAAATTTGTTATTGATTTTATTGTTAAACGTGCTAATTGATTAAATAATAAACTTGGTCGAATATTCATTCGTGAACACAAGAGCATTGGATAAATAAATGATTGCTACGGAAAGAAAAAAGAAAGAATTTCATAAAGGTTAAACAAAAAAAAATTTTTTTGTTTTGTGAAACCTTCGGAATATAAGTATCAGTTGGTACTAATCGTTGAATAAGTGAATCCATTGAATAATTTAAATAATCAAGTGATGGATCATCATCACTTGTTATTTGATTAGATATTGAACAATCAATTGATGGTATTGGAGAAAATGTTGCTGGAGTAGATATTGAAGGCTGGAAAAAAAAAGAAAAGACAAATTTATAGAGTTCATCTCAAATTTACAATATGTATTTTGATCGTTTGTGTTGTACTCTTCAAAATGAAATGGACATCACTGCTAATGTTCTATAAGGAGTAATGAGTGGGACCAATCGTTTTTGACTCCGGTCAGAAAAATTTTTAGTTCTGGTTTCGCGCTTAGTAACACATATACTAGCGAAAAATGCAATATCATTTTGTGAAACACGATCTGAAAGGAGTGTTGAAGTGTATAGGGTAGAAATTTTGGACCTACTTCCTTCTCCCTCCACAGACTGTGACAGAGAAATTCCATACCCATCACAGATCGTGACAGAGGACCTCCAGAAACCATCACAGACTGCGACAGAGAATCTTGAGAGATCATCACAGGTCGTGATAGAGAATCCTTAGAAAACATCACAGACCATGACAGAAAACTCCAGAGAGACCATCACAGACCGTGACAGA